TTTTTTTTTTTTTTGGTTTTTCTCCGGTACCGGGAACCGAACTCACGACCTTGCGCTTGCCAGGCAGGCGCTTTTGCCGCTGAACTAAATCCCCAGCCCCACTGTGAAGATGAAGAAAAGTCTTGAGTAGACGGAAATCCAGGTACTTGAGCAGGGTTCTGAAAGCCCTGCATGAGAAGGGAAGGCCACAGGGAATAAGGGGAAAGGGAATCAATCACATTGAATTCCTATCACATCTAATCCTCTCATCGAGTCTTGGAAAGGCATAGGGCTTATACGTGAAGAAATGGGTGTTTGGAAATACAGTATTTCTGAAACTTGCTTAAGATGCTGAAGAAGGATGAATGTTGAGGACATGATGCTAAGTGAAATAAACCAGTCATTAAAAAAGACAAGCATCCTGTGATTCCACTTACCTGGGGCTACCTAGAGTAGTCAAATTCATAGAGATAAGAAGTAGAATGGGCTGGGAGAAGGAAAGGAATGGAGAGCTATTGCCTAATGGGTGCAGTTTTAGTTATGTTTTGCGGTACTGGGGATTGAACCCACGGCACTCGCTAAGCAAGCACTCTGCTACTGAGCTATATCTCTACACTCAGAGTTTTATATGATTAAAAAAAAAGCTCTGGAGATTGGTTACAGAGCAGTATGAATGTACTTAACATTACTGAGCTTACTGAACTATACATTTCAAACTAATTAAGACAGTAAATTTTATATTATTTAAAAAACTTGCTCACAATCATATAGACAGTAAGTTGAGGGACTGAGAGTCATACCCTTGTCTATCTGGCCGAGAAAACTCGTGCTCTTTCCTAAACACACCATCCCAGACCATGTGGTTGAAGCTATAGCACAGAGAGGGGATAAAGGTTGGAGAAAGACCACAGGGAGTCAGTAGAGGACAGAATCTAGAACGTTGATGTAGCCTTGATTAAAGCATACTATCCCTGCTGACACTGAAGGGAGGAAGATAAAGGGCAGAAGGATGTGTCTATTTGTGGCCTTGATTAAAGCATACTATCCCTGCTGACACTGAAGGGAGGAAGATAAAGGGCAGAAGGATGTGTCTAGAAGCTAAGGGACTTCTAAGAGACCCCATTGTCAATAGGTTATTCCTTTTATTCCTGAGTAATATTCCATCATGTGGATGTACCATTGTTTAAACATTCATGAATCAAGGGACATTTTCATTGTTTTCAGTTTTGGGCTATTACAAATAAAGTTGGAATATTCATGTACTGATGCTTATATGGACACAAATTTTTATTTCTCTAGGGTAAATGCACAGGTGTGAAATTGCTGGGTAAGTGTGTATTGAGTTTTAAAAGAAATGGCCAAACAGTAGCTAAGTGTGGTGGCATATGGCTGTAATCCCAGCAGTTGGGGGGCGGAGGCAGGAGGGTAATAATTTCAAGGCCAAACTGGACTACATGGCCAGACCTTATCTCAAAAAAAAAGAAATCACCAAACTGATTCCAAGAGTGGCCAGGCTGTTTAACTATTTATATTCCCACCAACAATGTATGAGATATAATATAATCTCCGTATCTTCAGCAACATTTGGTATTGTCACTTTTTAAAAAAATCTCAGCTGTTTTTATAGATGTGTAGTGATATCTCATTGTGGTCTTAATTTACATTTCCCTAACAACTAGTGATACCGAAAATACTTATGTCAAGAGATGAAGATTGTAAATTGTTTTTAAGCTTTCTTTTGGTAAATCATTTCACTCTCTACAATCCTGTTTTCTCACCTGCTAAAGGAAAACATGGAACTATAAGGTATGTAATAGGCCCTGCAACTCTACATATCTGTATATCCATGGGGGCACCCTGGCTGTTTGTGTGCAAGGTGAGAAGCTTTTAATCTTCCCTCTGTGCATCAGCTATGCTCCATCTGCCAAGAACTGACAGGCAGTGAATCTTATCCATGTGCTTCACTGACATTTCCATGAAATATGTGGTAACTTCATTTGGCCTTCCTGGCTTTGTTTAGCATTGAAGTCCCATTGTCAAATCCTGAGCAAAAAGACATAGACTTTCACAAGTTTACAAGAGGCTTTATTAATTTTCTGATTCATTGCAAAGATGTTTGAATTCTTCTGTTCCCAAAGTTCACTGCAGAGCATAATTCAAATGAACAATACCTTGTAATTTTGGTCAAGCATTGACTGAGTGCCTAGAATGTACAGGTAGGGTAGTATGCTAAAAAGAGCACAAGCTGTATGTAGAAAGAAACTTGGGTTTGAATCATGCCCCATCACTTCTATTTAGTGTATTAGTCCACTGGTTGTTACTATAACAAAACACCTGAGACAAGTTACCTTTGAAGAGAATAGGTTTATTTAGTTCTCAAGATTCAAGGGCATAGTACTGACATCAACGTGGCTCTGGTGAGGACCTTTGGTGTCAGGGTGGGACCATGTGCAGGAACAAGAATCACACGGCCAAGCAGGAACCCAGAGAGGCAGGGTGAGGTCAAGCTAATTATTTTTTCTTTTTAGGACTGGATATAGAACCCAAAAGCACTCTTCCACTGAGCTACATCCTGCTTAAATTTTTTTTTTTCTTTTTTTGAGACAGTCTCACTATATTGCCCAGGATAAATTCAAACTTGCACCCCTAACCTTAGGTCCGAAAGTAGCTTGGATTATGGGTGTGTGCTGCTATGCTCTGCTAAAATTTCTAGAATAACCCCCTCTCCCAAGAACTAACCAGGACCTTTAATCCCTTCTGAGGACATGCCTCCAAAAGACTTAAGAACCTCCCACCAA